AAAAAAAACATAGGCAGCTAATGCCTTCTTGGCTCAAAGAATTTCCTCGATCAATTCGATCTCGGCCATCTGTGAGGCCACTGGTGCTGATGTACAAGAAGTCGCACATGCTGTCGGTTTTGACCAAAGGATTGGCAATAAATTTTTGCAGGCTAGTGTCGGTGAGTAAGTTTTTGAACTGGCTTTCAGTTGATTTTGTGTGTTATTTTTGTTTTCAGGTTTCGGTGGAAGCTGCTTCCAAAAAGATGTTTTGTCATTGGTCTACTTATGCGAATCTCTAAATTTGCGTAAAGTGGCCGATTACTGGATGGGAGTGAGTCAAAAATTTTCTAAGCTTAATCACTTTTCAGTAGACGATTGAGATTTCAGGTAATAGAGATCAATCAGTGGCAACGTCGACGATTTTCTGACAAAATCATTGCCGAATTGTTCAATACAGTAACTGACAAGAAGATTGCAGTGTTTGGATTTGCCTTCAAGAAGAATACTGGAGATACTAGGTACTAATAACAAGTTGACGAAAACGGCAAAATTAGCGATTTAGGGATTCATCAGCAATTCATATCATCAGCCATTTACTTGAGGAACATGCTCGTATCTCTGTCTACGATCCTAAGGTGGGTAACTACCATAGTTGAATTGATTAAACCGTCTGTAAAAATTATATAATTTACTCTGCCTGAAAGAAAAAATTTGCAGAGGAATGTAAGCTTTTACGGAGAAGGAAAGCAAAAAGAATAGATTTTTATTAAGAAAAGTAGGGGATTCCTTCGAAGTTCTGTTCTATCAGCATGAGCCCAATCGAAAAGTATTCAAATGGGGCAAAATTTGAAGCTAAATTCTCTCGAAATATGAGAACTGGTAACAACATAGTTGTGCGAACCTTGCCCATACTTGGTGTGTTGTGTGCATTCACACTCGCTGAAGAAATAAATTCAGGTAACAGAAACGCAAATGCGTTGGGAACTGTCGCAACGATCACCAGAAGAGATAGGTTTGCAAAGAATTTTTGGACAAATTAGATTTTCAAATTGCTCATTTCAGTTACAAAGCTTGTTACCGTCCATGACAACCCTTACGACGCAGCAGAAGGAGCTCATGCGATAGTCGTAGTTACAGAATGGGACGAGTTCAAGGTTTAAAAATGTTTTCCTATCGTTCAGAGTTTCCTGTGCCAGTGCCGTTC